AGGATGCCTTTTATTTACTTCTTTTGTCATACTGCCCTAGCAAACACTTTCAATACAATATTGAATAGAAGTGGCAAAAGTGGGCATCTTTATCTAGTCCCTGTTTGCAAAGAAAATGCTTTTAGTCTTTCTCCATTGAGAATGATGTTGGCTGTTGGTTTTGCATATATACTTTGCACTATCTTGAGGAAATTCCCATCTATTCCAATTTTGCTGAGTGTCTTAATCAGGAACAGGTGTTGGATTTTGTCAAATGCCTTTTCTGCACCAATTGCTAAGATCATATTGTTCTTGTTATTTGTTTTATTAATATGGTGAATTACATTGATTGTTTTTCTTATGTTGAACCACCCTTGCATACCTCTTATAAATCCCACTTGGTCATGATGAATTTTTTTCTTGATGTGCTCTTGGATTCTATTGGCTAGGATTTTGTTAAAGAGTTTTTTAATCTATATTCATGAGAGCTATTGGTCTGTAGCTTTCTTTTTTGGCAATATCTTTGCCTGGTTTTGGTATTAAGGTTATGCTTGTTTTATAGACTATTTATTTTCCCCCTATTTTAAAAAATAATTTAAATAGGATTGGTGATAAATCTTCTCTGAATGTTTGGTAGAATTCAGCCATGAAGCCATCTGGTCCAGGACTTTTTTGTGGGGGAGCCTTTTTATGACCTGTTCAGTTTCTTATTTTGTGATGGATCTGCTTATGTGTTCTACATCTGTCCATGTCAGTCTGGATAAGGCATGAGTTTTATCCATTTCCTCTAAGTTTTCAAATTTATCGGAGTATGTTGTTGTTGTTAAGTACCATTGAGTCATAGATGACTCCTAGCGACCCTATGAATGAGAGACCTCAACAATTATATAACTTTCATAATTTCTCCAGGTTCATAGGGTTTCCGGAGGCAAGCTGTTTTGGAAGTGGATGCTACTCCTGCCTCCAAGCTTGTTTAATCAGGGAGCTCCACCAAACACTGTCCACCATGGGCAACCATTATCGCATTTGACACATTGGTGTCACAGTGTATAATTTTTCAAAATATTCTGATATTGTAGATTTGATTTACTCTGGTTGTGTTGTGATGTCACCTCTATCATTACTTAACCAATTTATTTGTGTCTTCTTCTTTCTTTCTTTTGTTAAGTTTACCAGTGGTTGTCAGTCTTATGAACCCTTTTGAAAAACCAGCTCCTGGTTTTGTTGATGGTTTTAGTTGTTTTTCTATCTCATTGATTTCATTGTTCTTATACTTTCCTCTCTTCTAGAGACTGTAGGGTTAGATTGTTGGTTTTTCTATTTGATGAAGGTGTTGAGTTAGATCATTAATTTTGCTTCTTTCTTTGTTTTTTTATGTATTTGCCTCTTCCCTGAAGACTACCCTAGCTGCATCCCAGAGGTTTTGGTGCGTTGTATTATCATTATCATTTTTTTCTAAGGAAATTTTTTATATCATTCTTTATTTCTTCTATAACCTAATCATGTTCTGTTGTTGTTAAGTACCTTAAGAGTTATAGATGACCCATAGCAACCCTATGAACAAAAGTCTTAAACACAAAACTTTCATCTTTTCTACAAGTTCATAGAGTTTCTGGAGGCAAACTTTTTTTTTTTTTTTGGAAGTGGATGCCACTCCTGCTTCCAAGCCAGTTTTGTTTGGGAGATTCACAAAAACCAGGCCTGAGGGCTGCAGGCCTAAGGGCCTAAAAACCTTTTTTTTTTTAACTTCTAGATCTTTTATTTTGGAAGTATTAGAAATCAAGCCTACTCTTATTATGTTCAGTATTAACAGAACCATCTCCAGAAAAAACAATGTCTTTAATTCCACTTGTTTTTACAACGATACCTAGATTAGCACTGTATTTTTTAAAATGACATGGACAACCGTGGCTTTGCTGCACTTTGCACACTCTGACACAAGTTACACAGGATCTTGGTTAAGGCTGTAAATTCAACATACAAATCAGAATTTTGTCCCCTGCACTCTTGTTGCTGCCTGAGGGAGAAAGGATGACTGCTGTTCCATGACTAGAATGAAAGGCACACTGAGTTTCAGGTCAAATATCCATGACATTGACATGTAAAAGCCTTTTTAAATCCAATCAGCTCACATCTTGTTGGAGCAAAGCCACACCCTAGTTTCAACCCTAAACCAGAAAACACACCTTTGCAGAATCTGGGCATTCTACTCCTCTTCCCAACCTGGAAATAGTCCCAGACTGTCAGCCAAAAGCAGGGTGTTATTTAGCTTCCACATTGATGACTTTATAAACTTTATACTCTTGTGATTAATTTCTAGTTTTATGGCATTGTGGTCTGTGAAGATAATTTATATGCACTCAATGATTTTTTTTATTTTTTTGAGGCTTGCTTTGTGCCTTAATATGTAATAAATTCTGGAAAATATCCCGTGTGCATTTGAGAAGAATGTGAACCGAGTTTTATTTGGGTGCAGTGTCACAAGGTCAAGTTAGCTGAATGTGGAGTTTAGATCTTCTGCATATTTGTTAAGTTTCTTTTCAGTTGACCTATCCTTTGGTGAAAGTGGTGTGTTAAAGTCTCCTACCTCTATTGTGGTGCTATTTCTTCAATTCTTTTAACAGTTGCTTTACATACTTAGCAAGTCTATCATTTGATGCATAGATGTTGGTCAAGATTACGTCTTCTTGATCTACTGTGCCTTTGATCATTATACAGTGCCCTTTCTTTTATGGTGGTTTTCATTCTGAAATCTATTTTATCAGAGATTAGTATCACCATTCTTGCTTTTTTTGTGGATGCCATTTGCTTGCTATATTTTTTCCAAGCCTTTGATTTTGAGTCTATCTCTCTCTTCATTTCTTAGATGTGTCTCTTATAGACCACATATTGAAGGGCTTTTTTTTTTTAATCCATTCTGCTACTCTTCTTCTCTTGATTGGTGGATTTAGTCTTTTACATTGTGATTATTGACAGGACAGGTTTTATCATTGCCATTTTGCTGTGTTTCTCTTTTTGTTGTTTCTGATTACTATGGTCCACTCACTTTCCTTTGGTTTCTGTGTGAAGGACTGTCCTTAAAAGTTCTTGTAGATTTGATCTTGTTTCCCCAAATTCCTTAAGTTCTTTTCTTTTCTGCAAAGGATGTGATTTCTCCCTCCTATTTGATGGAGAGCTTTGCTGGGTACAGGATCCTTGGCTGGTGGTTGTTTTCTTTCAACTTTCTGTTTATGCCATCTCATTGTCTTATTGCTTGCATGGTTTCTGCTGAAAAATCAGAACTTAATCTTATTGCTTTTCGTTTGTAGGTGACTCTTGCCTTTCTCATGTTGTTTTTAGTAGTCTGTTCTTATTTTTTATTTTGGAGTATATGACTATGACATGTCTTGATGTTTTTTTCTTTTTAGGTCTAGTGTACTTGGTGTTCACTGAGCTTCTTGAAGGTGGATATCTTCATTATTTATAATACTTGGGAAGTTTTCATCTACTACCTCTTCCACAATTTATTCAGTGATTTCTCTATCCCTTTCATATTCTGGAATTCCAACCACATGTGTGTTGTTCCATTTTTATGTAATCCACATGATTCTAATGTTTTCTTCATTTTCTTTATGTCTTATCTCTGATTTTTTTCTTCTAGTATGTTTCCATTGAGGTTCTTGGCTTCCAGCTCACTGGCCCTCTGCTCCATCTCTACTGTTCTACTTTTTTGTCCCTCTAGCATGTTGGATACTTCTGCCATTTTGGTCTTAATGATCTGGATTGCATTTTCATGTATCGTGTTAGCTGTACACTATCTTGTGATGATTTTTTAAAGTTTTTGTCTCTTGATCTATAGTTTCAATTCTTTCTTCCATCTTTTTTTATTTTCTTCTGCACTTGTACAAGCTCCTAATTTTCCAATATATTTATTCTGGCTCTATGTCTCTGGAGTGTCTGCTTTCTTGACTGTATCCATTGTTTCTTCCATCATTTGTACTTTTTTTCATAACTGTTCGAATGTCTCCACATCAACATATATCATCTGCCTTCTTGACTCTGGGGTATTCACTGTGTCTGCAATATTCTCTCCTCTTTTTTTTTTTTGAGAAGGCTTAATTTGTTTTCTCAAAGTATTTGAAACTGCCTGCTGCTTTATCGACATGATGTGAAGTTTTTCTTCATAAGTGCTAGGCCCTTTCTATTGTATCTGCATGAGTTGTCAGTAATTCTTATCATGATGTTATTGATTAATTGGCAGGTTGAAATGTTCACTCTATGGGGTGAATCACTCTCTCTACTGAAATTCCTCTCTGGGAAAATTTACCTTTCCTGATATCCTCCAGGTTCTCTCTGTTCTGCAAAGCAGCCCTCCAGGAAACTCACCTTAATGCATTCCCCCATCTCAAACTCTATCATCCTCATCTATCTATGGAGTGGCTTAGTGGGATGAGACAAGGTGCTCCACTTGAGCAGTTTCTGTCTGGGGCAGCAGCTGGTTTCATGTCAGCTCTCTTTTTTGGAGCTTAACGTGCCAATTGAGAAAGCTGAAAGTCTTTCCCCTGATTGTGGCTCTGTGTTTCAAACTCTCTTTCCTGTCTGGCCCCTGGGATGGCCTTGCAGCCACAGAGACTAGGATCCCCAAATGGAGGGGTCAATCCCCAGGGAAGTTACAGTACCACCTCCCCACAAGTACTCCAAAAGGCTCATTCTGGGTGGCAATGTCTCACCTTCTGTGCTTTCTCTCCCTTAGTGTCTTCCTTTATCTCTGAAGTGGTATGAGATCAGGGCCATCAACTTATGCAGTTTGTGTGCAGGAGGGTCAGCCCTAACTCTCACAGTGAACAAAACATTTATAATGAGTAAACTGATCATGATATTGAAACAACTTTCCTCTCTAATGGTCTTGTTATGTTCTCAGCAGAATTGTTTGGATATCAAAAACATTTGGGGCTCTTTGTTGATGTATTTATTTCCTTTTAGCAACCATGAAGGGGTAAGTGTGGAACTTCAGTTTCATTAAAACTCTCTCTGTGTTTTAGGTGCAACCAAAGAGTGAGGAGACAAGCTTTCCACAGACTCATGATGCAGAAAAGAAGATGACCCAACCAAAAGAAGCTGGCATTGAAAAAAAGATGACCCAACCAAAAGAAGGTAGTAAAGACACTGCAGGTTGACATATCTTCACCCTCATCTAGAAATATGTATTTCTAGCTTAACTGCAGTGCTACATTGCAAGAGCTGTATAAAGAGGATGCTATATGCCTTGGTTTTCAGAGACATTTCCATTTAAGGTGCATGCTAAGATCGTCCAGATTTCTCCATCTAACCATTGCCAAATGAATGTCATTTCCACTTGTAGGGGGTATAGATAGAGATCCCGTTTTATCCAAGTGAATGTCCAATCATGGAGGTGTTTAGTTTGTTTCCAAGTGCGTTTAATCGCCTCTGAGTCTACTGGACATGTGGAGTTCTTCAATGGGCTCTGTTCTCTGAGGGCAGTCAGTCATTACCCCTGCAGTGTGATCTCCCTCAGCAACAGAACCAGATAGTAATACCAAGTTGGTCCCCAAATTATCTTTTTTTTTTCAAATGAGTTGGTTTGAGTCAAGATGATACAGAATTCTGGGCATAACAAAGAATGAAGAGGAGATTCTGACAGTACTCTGGATTACATTTACTTTGACTACACAGCTAAGATTGGAATGGCTGAGTGAGAACCGGAGATGGACCATCATAGTTTTCTTCTTC